TCTTCCCCCCTCCCCTACCCGCGTTCCCCCCGCTCCCTCGTCTGGCAGGAGCGGATGATGTCGCGGAGTCGCGACGAGCAGCGATTCCGTTTCGACAACCGCCACAAAGACCGGGTCATGTTTCTGTTCGACATCTTGTACGAGAGTGAAAATGCATTTAAACGCCAGCACTGGCTAGGGGCCGTCGCACAGCAGAACCCTTTCGACATGTACGGCATTATGGATCTGATTCACACCCTGGAACCGGATCTGATCGTGGAGACAGGTACGAACGAAATCAGGCCTATGTAAGAATTTGTGCGTTTGTATGTATGTATGTATCGTTATTATTACGCCCGTCAGTCCAGAGGTATGCGCGTCTGTCTCTCCATGAAATCCATCCATATGTACGTACGTAGATCGTTGTATTCGTACACCTATCTGTAGGTCTGTCTGTCTGTCCGAAATCTCTCTCCCCCTCCTGCCCCCTCCCCTCCTCCGTACCCTAGTTGACTCATCTGCTTTCCTAGGATTTCTCCCCTCGTTCTCCCCCGCCCCCGCCTCTTCCTCCCTACTTGCCCCCAAACATACACACATACATACATACGCACGGACTTCGGAAACTGAACCTGTGTATTTCGTGTGCACTGATATGGTCTTCCCCCCGGACCAGTTCCCCAGACTGTTTTTTGCGCCATCACACGATTCACCCTCTGATGATGCATGTTTCGTACGATTTGCCGTACTTTACCTTGGTCTTAGGTACGGCAAACGGCGGCAGCGCGCTAATGTGGGCAAGCATGTTACATTTGACCCGACCTGGCCTTGGTCGGGTAATTACCGTTGACGTCAACGACCCGGTGGTTGTTAGTTGGGCGGGGGTTAGCGCCAAGGACCCCACTAAGAACCCACTGTGGTCCCAGTACGTCACATTCTTAAAGGTACGACTGTCGGATGTCTTTGGGGGTAAGGAGGCGTGTGGGGGTGTATATACGGGGGTTTTAATTAATGTACGGCAGATATCACGGCTTGTCGGCTATTATGCGAGGTATAGCGGATGAGGGAACATTAACTAAAAACCCAAATCCCCGTTGATTAAACAGAAGCCCTTTAATCCGGAAATAATATAATATAAAAATAAAACATCTTAAAAAATTTAAATAGAGAAACACTTTTAAAAATCCTCAAAGCAGCTATGCCTATTAGTTTTATAGGTTACAAGTGCCGCACCAATGGGGGTTTAGGGCATCCGTAAACTATTAGTAGATAATGGACTTAAAACCC